CGAGACAGGGTTTCTCTGTGTAGCTTTGCACCTTTCCTGGATCTCACTTGTAGCCCAGGCTGGCCTCGAACTCACAGAGATCCACCTGCCTCTGCCTCCCAAGTGCTGGGATTAAAGGCATGTACCACCACTGCCCGGCTCTAGGAGACAATCTCACAGCAGACTTTCTGGTCCTCTGGGTCTTCCCATGCTCCTGTCTCCTCTTCCATGATGTTCTTGGAAGCTCACAAGCAGGAGATGTATTGTAGATGTATCTGCTGAGGCTGGACTCCCCATGACCTGTTGATCTCTGCACTGTGTCCAGTTGTGCTGCAGCTGTTAGGTCACTTAGAAGAGGGCATGGGTGGTACTGATGTCCACACAGAACCTCATAGCCGCTCTGACTTCGCGAGGGGAGGATGGGGTGATGCTTTAGGTTGTTTTCTGTTTTAATGTGGAATATGTTACTCTCTGACTTGTAGGGGATTCACTTTTAACTCATTTATTTTAAATACATATCCATTTAAGATGCTGAGTTATACAATTCAATAGGACAAATAGACTTATCTAGAGGCAATAAGCATATATACATTTAAACTAGAATCTATGTTGTCTTAAAATACTGATAGCTAAGTAAAATAAATTTTTAGGCATAGACTCTAGCATGAATTTTTACAGACAGTTGAAGTAAGAATCATCATTATTAATTATTTAAGATGGTATCACTACATAACCTGGCCCAGCACTCCTAGGGCCCCTGACTTTTCAACCCTTCCGCCTTAGCCTTCCAAGGGCTAGATTACAGGTGTACAGTACTATACCTAGAATATCTAGAGATTTTAAAATACATCTAATTACATATCTCAGAGAAGATGTTATTGGTTCTTGCTTGGTAAATTTGGAGACTAAAAAACATGAAAAGGCTTTTGCTTAGGCAAAAAATTAATTAAAAAAAAACCCTTACCTTCCTTGAGGGTATAGTATTCGCAAGCTGAGCTCCTAGCAACTGTGAGTGAGCATTTTCAGGTGTGAGACTCTCACACATATTGATGCTATGAATATTCTTATCTCTGTAGAAATGTGCATAAAATTTTGTTGACTATACATACTGAACAGACACAATTGAAAAATCTCAAACCTAAAATGACCCCACTACAAAACTTTTTGACATGATGTTGTAAGTTGAAAATTCCATATCTGACCTTATAGGACAAGCCATGCTCAAAATATGGGGAATATTGCATAGCATCCCTTACAGGCTGTCGGTATATCTGAAACACAAATGAATTTGCTCTTTAGACGTGGACTCTCTCATCACTGTATCTGCAAACATCCCCAAAAGTAAAAAAAATGGAATTGAAGTCACCCATGTTCTCATGCATCTCATCCATACCCAGTCTGTTCACCCAGGGACAGCCAGCCATACCATGTCATTATGTTTAGCACCGTTCAGTTTAATATCAAACATGGTCCGATGAAGCGTTGGTGTTCCCCAAGGTTCCCTCCCATGTGTGCCATGTGACAGTGCCAGCATCTCTTCATTCCGACACTTGGTGTTTGAACTTAGTGATTCTATAGTGGAATTTGATCTTTATCTTAATTTGTGCTTCTGGTGTGACTGATAAGTTCAGCACCTTTTCTCTTATTTATCGGACATGTATATACACCCTCGTGTAAAGTGTTTATTACAGCTTTATACATTCAGAACAGTCTTTGCTAAGGTGATGTTTGAGTCAGAACATGAAAGGTATTAAGGAGCAGGCAAGTGCAACAGTAGGCAATGGGGAGGAAATAAAGGTCTGAAGGCTTTACGATAGAGCTAGTGGGAGACGTTCATTGTGTGAATGAGACTGGAAAGATGTCCCGGGTGACAACTAGTGGGGAGAACTTACATATAAAAGAAGAATCCGAAAGTGACTCTTGAGTTTCTCACTTTTGCCGCTAGTCACCATTTGAACTGGAGAAATCGGAAACAGGAGCATGGCTGTAAATGATCACCAAGAGCTCTAGTTTTGGGTGGTGTGGTGGGATCTGCCTGTAGTCCCAAATACTTAGGAGGCTAAGGTGGGAATTTGAGCCAATGACTCAAGGCCAGTTATAGGATTTGTCTTTTTAAAAAAAGGATCAGTTTGGTAGTTGTCAACATAAAGGTGATCTGAAAGCAATGTAAACAGATAAGCTCACCTGAGAATCTGAAAAATAAAATTATAAATTTAAAAAGACATGACCTCGGACAGGTGGGATGATCAAGGAATAGAAGGCCAGAAGCCTCAGCGTTCATTTGAGCTAAGGGGGAAAACAGTCGAGGAAGACACAGGAAATACAGCACGGACTGGGGAGACAGACTAGGAAGACACAGGAAATACAGCACAGACTGGGAAGACAGACTAGGAAGACACAGGAAATACAGCACGGACTGGGGAGACAGACTAGGGCAGGCCAGGTAACTCTGTGGACACAGAAGGCACCAGGAGCTTCAGTGAGGATGAGCAAGCTAGTGTGGTGGACTTGGAAACCAGAGGGGGTCCCAGAGAACAAAGGGGGAGCCATAGCATTTGTAAAATATGGTGTGAATTAATACTTACTCCAGCACTCTCTAAATACCTAAGGAAGATGAATTTGAATGATGTTTATAGTGGCCTCATAAGGAACAAACATAGGTTCTCTGCAGACTCTCCAGGGCCCATTTCTGCTTTGGGGACTAGGCTGAGCCCAGACCAGAGGGAGAAATATGGAAACTACTCAGTTGTCAGTTGGTTGTGGCTTTTGGGTCACCTTTCAGTGTCCTCAAAGAGATGTTTGCTGTCTGTCCAGACATCATTACTCCATCCATACTTCATCTTGCAAGAACCAGACTACTGATCATATTATCTTAAATAAAACATATAAGACCACATATAATTTAATTCATTTCACAAAACTTACCAGAGCATCGGTCAAATACAAGAAAACTGATTTAAAGCTATAGGCTAATAGATATCACTCACAAACATAATTTAAAGGTACCATGAAAATATACATGCAAACCAAATCAATCAATTGTGACCAAGTTTTTTTAATTCTAAAAAATGAACAGCAGGGCGGTGGTGGCGCACGCCTTTAATCCCAGCACTCGGGAGGCAGAGCCAGGCAGATCTCTGTGAGTTCGAGGCCAGCCTGGACTACCAAGTGAGTTCCAGGAAAGGTGCAAAGCTACACAGAGGAACCCTGTCTCAAAAAACAAAACAAAACAAAAAAAATGAACATAGAGTGATTGAATGTTTGAAAATCATAAAACAGATCAAATGATAAAACTGATTATCTTAACATATAGGGGAAAAGCATTTTAAAAATGAATTTCTCATACACACATACACACACACACACACACACACACACACATATATAACTCCTTGAAAATGATAAATAAGAATCTTCTTTAATTTAATTTAAAAATAAAAACTGGGCTGGAGAGATGGTTCAGCGGATAAGCATGCTTATGGTGTAATCACAAGTTCCTGAGTTCAAATCCTGCAATGGCTCAGCATGACTGCATGAATGTCTGGAACCGCAGTGCTGTGGAGAACAGAGACAGGGTTGCTGAGGGTTGCTGACCTCCAGCCTAGCTAGCTTCAGGTGTCCTGATTGACCTGTTTCAAGGACTAAGGCAGAGCGTGATAGAGCAGAGCACCTGATGCTCCTCTGTCCTGTGCACACACCTGTGCACTCAGAACACACACACACACACACACACACACACACACACACACACACACACACTGGGGGGGTGGGTAGAGGGGGCCAGAGAGAGAGAGACTGTAGTCTGGGGTGTGGCTCAGTTGGTAGGGTGCTTGCCTAGCGTGCACAAGGCCCTGGACTCTGTTCCCTACACTGCATAGTGCACATAGCAGTACCTGTCTATAATCCAAGCACTCTGGAGATAGGGGAAGGATGGTCAGAACTTCAAGGCCAGCCTCAGTTATCCAGAGAGTCTGAGACCAGCCTGGAATATGTGACACTCTATCTCTATCTCAAAGAGAGAGGGAGACAGAGAGAGACAGAGAGAGAGACAGAGAGACAGAGAGACAGAAACAGAGAGAGACAGAGACAGAGACACACACACACACACACAGAGACTATGCTAAAACAAAAACAACTCCTTTCATATCAGGAAGAAGAATGTTTCTATTGCTACTTCTGTTCAGATACAGCCGACAAGAAAAGACAACAGACACCAAGTCATGGATAAGTTGTACACTCTCTCAAGCCCTTGTAGTTTGAGGGTGAGGGACTGTCTCAGTAGGAACACCAAACATTCTAATAATGGTGCAGAAGATCAGGGCCTGACCTCACTTTCACTGAGAACAGAGTGACTAACACTTGCTGGGATTTACAGCTCAGGGGAAGGTCTGAGGTTTGAATGCTGGAGACACAGGAAGTTAACCTCTGATGGGCAGTTAGTAGGAAATCTAAGTTGGATAACTTCCATGGTCTGTCCTTCCCCCATTGAGAGCATATGAGTGTACGGAATGCGGCCTACCACTCCCTCTGTGAGGTAATACCCATTTGCCTCTTGGGGCTGCCGTTGACATGACTCCGCCTGGCAACACTAGTGAGGCCTAGCTTGTTTGAGCCAAGATACAACATACTAGCCGGATGCCCTCATGAAAGGACAGTTTTCTTCCCTCCTCTGTGGTAGGCTGTTATTACATGAGGCTCTATGGAAGAAATATTAACAACCTCAAAACTGTGTAGTTCACTGTGAGCTAAATCAAGGCTGTCATGATGCATCTTGTCTTTGAAGATGAGAATACAAGACAAGAACTCTCATAAGGTATTCGCAAAAGTAAGCCTCTGTCTTAGTTAAGGTTACTATAACATCTACAAAAGCAGGATACCATAGACTCATGAATTAAATAACAAAGTGATTTCTCTCTCTTCTGGAGGTTTCTGATACGAGGGTGGCAACATGATCAGGCTCTGGGGGGGGGGGACACAACACTTTTTGAGTTGTGGTTCTATCTTCTTGTGTCCTCCAGAAGTGGGGAAAGGAAAGGCTGAACAAGCTTCTGGTGTTTTTTGTAAGGACACTGCGTTAGATTTGCTTCCTGTGCTATGATAAAATACCACGACAAAACTTGACGGAGAAAGGGTTTCTTTAGCTCACAGTTCCAGGCTACCGCCCATCATGGCATGGAAGCCATGACAGCAGGAGCTTGAAGCAACTGGTCACAGAACATTCACAGCTGGAAAAGAGTGATGGATGTATGCATGTGTACTCAGCTCGTTTTCCCCTGTTACACAGTCCAGGATCTAAGGAGTGATCGGCCCACAGTGGGCAGGTCTTCCCACCTCAATTAATGTAATTAAGACAATCCCTAACAGATATTTTCAGAGGCTAACCTTAATCTAAATAATCCCTCACAGGTGTGACTGGAGGCCTGCCTCCTGGGTGTCTAACCCCCACAACTCTACTCATTTTTGTTTGTTTGTTTTTAGGGATAGGGTTTCTCTGTGTAACAGCCCTGTCTGTCCTGGAACTCACCCTGTAGACCAGGCTGGCCCCGAACTCAGGCTGCCTCTGCCTTCGGAGTCCTGGGTTTTAAAGCGTGCGCTATATCCACCCGGCCAAACACCACTCTTAACCCACAACCTTCTACCTCTTGGCCCATAAGCTTATGACAATTTTACACCTTAAACACATAGTCATTGCAATGTAAAAGTTCCCGTAGCCCAGCTTTAAATATTCCCATAGTCATTAATCATTCCAAAAACTTTAAAAGTCCTAAGTCTCTTAACTGTGAATGAACTTCTATAAAATAAAATAAAATAAAATAAAATAAAATAAAATAAAATAAAATAAAATAAAATAAAATAAAATAAAATAAAATAAAAAGTTATATACTTCCAACATATAATGGGACACAGTAAACATTCTTATTCCAAAATGGGAGACTTAGAGCATAAACAGATTTAAAAAAACCTCCAAAGCAAAACCGAAGTCTAACAGGCCAAACGTGAAAGCCTGTAGCTCCTTGCTCAACATCCGCAGCTTGTGACGTTATCCGCTGGGTTCCAAGAGGCTCTGGCGGCCCTGACTCCTGCCTGGCCGCCCAGAGCACACGCGGCTTCTGTCTCAGGTCTGGGTCCACTCTGCTTCACGCTTGCGGTTCTCCCTGGGGTCTCCAGTATTCTGGGGTCTCCCCTGCCCCTTAGGCTTCATTTGGGGCCTCCCCTTGCGTTTGCAATTCTGCCACACAGTGCCTGGCCTCAGCTGGCTTCCATGACCCACCCCCCCACCCCCCCAGTTTTGGATCTTCATGCCTTCAAAACCGACACCGCATGGGGACATGGCCAGTTTCTGCTGTCAGTTTGAAGTCAGCCCAGTCCCTTAAGTGGCTCCTGCATTCTCCCCAGGGAAACACTTTCCTGTTGTCCCAATGCCAAGCACCAGGCTCCTCTCGAATCTCTTTAAGTTATAGATGTTTGTAAACGCTTTGCGTTTTATGCCCTCCTTGTCTAAACCTTTCCCACACACCTTTCCTCCACCAAACAAATTAGTTCATCGTCTTTAAATGTAACTTGATTTGAGTTCTTAGGACATGAGCAGAATGAAGGTGGATTCCTGGCCAAAACGTCACACAAACAGGCCACTAGCCAGGTTTATAACAGAGTCCTTGGTTACTGAAGCCTCATGAGCCAGACCTCCGCTGTCCACATTTCTCTGTTCCCTTGTCTTCCCAGATGCTATAAGACCATCCCATCCAACCCTGTTTGCAGTATTCAGTGGTTTTCTACCCCAGAGTTCCGAACTCCCCTACATCCCTCCACAAAACAGTCCCGAAGGCCTGAAAGCCACAGGGTCAGGTTCACCACACCAGCAACCCACTCTCACTACCAGTTTCTTTCTGTCTCAGCTCCCCCACCCCCTGTTTCTTGGATAAAAGACCCTGTCAAAACCAACTTACAGGAGAGAGTATTTATCTATCTCATGGTTACAGGTTACATTCCACCATGGCATGGAAGTAGGTCATGTGCGGCAGGAACTTGAAGTGGCTGGTCACATTACATGTGCAGTCATAAGAGAGTCATGAATGTGTGTATGCATGCTCAACCTGCTTTCTCCATTCATACAGTCCAGGATTCCATGCCTAGGGAATGGTCCCATCCATGGGGGGGCAGTCTTTCCACCTCAACATAGTAAAGACAATCCTTTATAGCCACCCTCAGAGACTAGCCTTAGTTTAGATAATCCCTCACGGATATGCCCAGAGGTTTGTCAAGTTAACAATACCAACCATCATAACTATTAATTCTATCATGGAAGGTTTATTCTCATGACCGAATCTACCCTACAAAGTCCTCATCTCCAAATGCCATACACTGTGGGCTCATTTCAACATAGGAGCTTGTAGGGTGGGTGCAACCATTGAGGCCATGCTGTGCTACAAAGCTGAATCCTAACTTGAGTAATTTTCTAGGATCACGCTTCATGACTTTTTCTCCACAATTATGCACTGCTAAGAGCTTTGGAACTGAACAAAGACATCCTTAGGTCTATTTTCCAGGGTGTGTGTGTGTGTGTGTGTGTGTGTGTGTGTGTGTGTGTGTGTGTACAAGCACACGTATAATGCCTGTGATGTTTCCACTCATTTCTGTCCCTTCTCTATCTGCTGTCAGCCAGAATGTGTAAATGGGAAGACTGGTGGGATTCATTTTTCTCTTAGAAAAAGTAATTAATAGTGACTGTAGGGCAGATCCACGTGTGTTTTATGAAGGCAGAATTGGTTCCTCTGTCCAGCGTGGCCGTGGTGTGGGGAGGTCGTAGTGGAGATGCTCCAGTGAACCTTATCATTACAGTCACTGTTCCTGATTGCTTTACTTAAATTAGATGTCTGGCAGCCAATCTCAATTCAGAGATCAGGCTGGTTGGGAACATACACGTCGATAAGAAAATAAATTGAATTTCTTCTTCACAAAAACACGGTGGTCCCGCATCAGATAGAGCCGAAATTTGCTGGTAACTGAACTCTCTTTGGAATTCAGCCATTTTCTAGGGACAGAATTTTAATCTAAATATGCATGCTTATCAGTTGCTGTCCTTAATTTGGAGGCTAGCCCCTAAATTGGAATGATAATTTAGTTCAAAACTGGAAAGGATTTAGGGAGTTCTTAGGACCTCAGGTTCTTAAGGGAGCTCCCGGGGAGTCAGCCCACAGAGATGAAGCCCTGTTTCCTCTGGTTTAGCACATAGACTGTGCACATCACCTCATACAGCAACCGTTCCAATGAGAATGCTGTAAGACTTCGACCAGATAATGAGACCAAAAGAGGGTGAAAAGCAGCAGCAGTGACCAGCTCCCTCCCAAACCCTTCTTAACATGGCCCTGATCTCTCAGAGGTAATACAGGGAAAACATCTATATTTTGTAAAGGAGAAATCCATGGAGTCTATTTAATGAGCAGAGGAATTTATTGGGGGGTAACTCACCACAGCACGGGAGATTTAGTGTAGGGTCCAGGAAAGCCGAGCTGTGTCTCACACTGATCTTCTGCCTGGTCAGTCCCAGCATCCAAACCACGAGGGAGCCAAGAGAGTGCCACGGGCGTGCATCCCAGGTCTTAAGAGTCCCGAGCGGCCAGGACCCAGGGGCAGGTACTTCAAGGCCATAGGCACATAGCAGTCACCTGCTGCCTCTTTAGGGGCGGCGCTTCAGGGCCATAGCTAGAACAGCCACCCACTACAATTTTACTCTGATTAATGATATAATTAATGTTCGTTGTAACAAGTTTTTTATTTTGGTTCGTGTGTATGTGTGGTGCACGTATGAAAATGTGTGGGTGCACAAATATGTCCTTATGTGAATGGAGGCTGGAGTTCATTAGTTATCTTTTTTTTTTTTTAACGTTCTCTACCTTGTTTTTGAGATAGGGTCTCTCAGTGAATGTGGAGCTCACAATTTTGCAGGACTAGTTGGCCAGGGAGCCTGGAGATCCCCAGCTCCAGGATCACAGGCATGAGCTACCACCCAAGTCTTTAGACGGGTGCTTGGGATCTGAACTCAGATCCTCAAGTCAGTGAGCACCTTCCTGACTGAGCCACGGCTCTGGCCCCAGTGTAAGGAAGGTTTTAAAGCTCTGAAAATGTGAGGCTTTCTCCTAAATTTTCACTTTCTTCTGCTTCAGTTACTGTGCTTCCCTCAACAGACATAGGGGATTCCTTTTCCTTTGTCCTCAGCTCCATGATATACACTTACAATTAGGGTGTGTGTGTGTGTGTGTGTGTGTGTGTGTGTGTGTGTGTGTGTGTGTCTGTCTGTCTGTCTGTCTGTCTGTCTGTTGTTCTGTGTGTGTGCCTGTGTGTGTGTATGTGCCTGTGTGTGCCTACCTGTGTGTGTACACCTGTGTGTGTGCATGTGTGTGTTTGGCTGCATGTTTCTTCTTTTCTCTTTTTTTTTTTCTTGAAGTATGAAAACTCAAACTCAATAAACAGTGTTGCATTAAGCCTAAGAGTGTTGGAAGATCAAGGCAAAAATAACCTCACACTGATGAGTTATAGAAGGAAATAACTTGTTAGGAATTGAGAAGCATTCCCGTGCACTTCCTCCCAGGCCACTGTGCTTTGGGTGGGATTTCCACACCATGATTGGTTTGGGTCACTAACCATATGCTCGTGCTCAGCACTGCCCTATTAAATGTAAATCCATCCATTCAAGGACAACTTTTTTATTACACTGTTTTTGTAACTTAGAGTCTTTCTGGGAGTGTCTGTTATTTGTCTTAACAAATCACCTATCGTGGTGCTCATGGGCCCCATGCCTTGTGACTTAGATTCTTTCTCTTCCCG